CCGAGGAGGGTGACTATCACTAAATGTTTCATGTGTCTTTTTAACTAACAGAAGTGCCAACCACAACAAAAAATGACTAACACAGTTTTACAAGAACTGGCAAGAACAATCAAACACTAAGGAAGTTCTTTTCCTTCTTCCTAGGCTATTAGTGATGCGAATGATTAATATTTACATTAAACTAGCGAGCATAGGTATAGAAAACGGGGGTATAATATACTGGGGCCTTTGAAAAGTTTGTGGGAATTTTTCATTTATTTTTTCATTCTATTTTTCACAAAGTTTTTTAAGCTCTCTCATGTATACGTTCATAAATATTGATTTTGCACAATCATTAAACTTATTTATTGGAGTTGACACATCTCAGTGGACTTTGGAATCAGGTTCAAAATCCTACTGTCACTTACTAACTGTATAATTTAACACAACACACATTTTGGAACCTCATCTCCTCTGTTTTGCTAAATGGGGTCTAAACATTCCTGTATTTTAAAATTCCTGAGCGAATTTAAAAAGAAAATGAGTAAGGCACAACCTAGTTTGTGTGGCTACTGTTATTATCAAGGATACTCAAAAGGCAAGACTGACACTTTTAAAAATACTGATTTTATAGATGTATGAATTAATATGTTGTGGAAATTCACTTTATAAACATGTAATTCAACGATTTTTAGTACATTTATAGACTGGTATAACCATTACCATCTAATTTTAAAATATTCCCATTACCAATTCCTATTTACAATTATCTTGACAAACCCCAGTCCTAGGTTGCCAATGCTCTACTGTACATCTCTATAAATTTGTCCTTTCTGATCATTTCATATCAATATAATCATACATGTAATCTTTTATATCTGAATTTTTTTTACTGGGTATGGTTTTGTTTTTGCTTTTTTAATACTTTACTGTAATTTGGGTATAAGTTAATAGAGCATGAGTTCCACATTCAATGACTAGATATACATTTGCTTTCTTTTTTTTGCCCCCAGAGCCCTATGAGTTTCTATGAGTCAGAATGGAATCCATGGCAGTGGGTTTGGATTTTGGGGGTTTAATCTTTTTTTTTAAACAATCATTTTATTTGGGGCTCTTACAAATCTTATAACAGTCCATCATTTAATAGTATTAGGCACACTTGTACATATGTTACCATCAACATTTCCAAATCAATACATTTGCTTTTTGACATTAGTTGCAACCCTCTCGATTTAACTTTCTTCCTGGGTTTCCAGTTTCCATTTGTCCATCTTTCCTGCCACTTTCTGTCTTGTGAACTCCATTTTTGGCCAATACTGCTGCTCTTTTGGTCTCATATGGCTGATTATTCTGAACTTGTTACGGGTCACTCTATAGGCTTATCCACTGTTTGACTGAAAGATAATTCCCTGGGGCAGGTACAGTTCCAGGTTTGAAGGATGTCTAAGGATCACGGTCTTGGGGTTTCACTAGTCTCTACAGACCAGTAGGTCTGGTCTTTTTTTATTTTGAATTGGTCCTACATTTTTCTCCTAATATGTCCACATCCTAGCATTGTGATCCTGATCTGAGCGGTCGATAATTGTAGTTAGGCACCATCTGGTTCTTCTGGGCTCATTCTAGTGGAGGTTGTGGTTTATGCTGCCCATGAGTCCTTTGAACTAACTGCTTCTTTGAGTCTTTGATTCCTTCACTCTTCTTTGTTCCAGATGGGGAGATATCAATAGTTAAATCTTATATGGCCACTCACAAGCTTTTAAGACCCCAGCCACTACTCACTAAAGAAGGCTGTAGAACGCTGTGTGGCGAACTGTTACGTTGACCTAGATGTCCGTAGACCATAGTCTAAGTCCCTAAACCCAGTGACTCAGTCTGTCAAGGTGCTTGGTTATGGCTAAGGCATTTTTATACCTTTTTTAAAAAAGATCATTTTATTGGGGGCTCTTACAACTCGTTACAATTCATACATCATATGGCCATCATTCTTTTCTAGACATTTACTTTCTGCTGATCCCTTGGGATCAGCTTTTTGAAAAATAATTTGATTAGGGGCTCATTTTCATACTTTTGTACCCTGTATGCTAACGACCTTCACCCAGCCAAAACATAATCCACTTCCAGCTGGTCAATTTTGATTCACAGCCACTCTACATACGGTTTCTGAGGCTGTAAATCTTTACAGAAGGGGAATGCTTCATTTCCCCCCTCAGGGTCGTTAATGCGTTTGTGGCATATCTACTTTGCAGTTAGCAGCCTAATGCTTACCTGACAGCACCACCAAGGGTG